TTAGTTTTATCCATATTCATGGATAGCATATTACTATCACACCATTTCTTTATCTTCTCAAGTTCCTGTGAAACTTGTCCCGATAGTTGCTGTGGGTTATCCCCTGATGCCCATATCGTAGTGTCATCAGCAAATAAAACCATTTTCACAAAAGCTGAAACCTTGCACATATCGTTAATGTATAATATGAATAATTTCGGTCCCAAGACTCAACCTTGAGGCACCCCACATACAATGTCCAGTTCACTCGACTGATGTTCACCCAACTTCACAAATTGGCGCCTCTGCGTCAAATAACTACTAATCCAATTCAAAGGCACTCCTCTGATCCCGTATTTTTCTAGCTTGCACATTAATAATTCATGGTTGATTGTGTCAAATGCCTTCTTTAGGAAGGCGCCTCCTGGGCGCCTTCCTAGGGAGGAGAGAAAAAAGAAAAAGAGAGGCAGGTCACGCCGAGCGGACCTGACACTGAGGTTAACTGTTATGACAGGACATTTCTTATTAACTGCCTACTTTTGATTTTTGGGCAAATCACATAAAACTCTGGAATTAGAATTGGATATGAGTGGATGGTGAAAAGATGTGATGGGAACAGTGGGGCCAACGTGTGTGTGAGTATCTGTGGGTGGGGGGGGGGGTTGTGTTACACAGTATAAGGGCAGCAGTGGCTTAAAGGATAGGAAGCGAGCTTGTGGCCAGAAGGTTGCTGATCCAACCCCTGGACTGGCCGGCGTGAATGTGATCAGGGTGTTCCTGCAAAGCAGAAGTGGCTTCAGACAAAGGTTAAGAAAAAAGAAAAAACTTTGAAAGGACTGTAACTGAGAAAAAAACAGAAACAACTCAAAACCAGAACTTGGATGACTGACTACCTGTGTGAGAGTTTACTGAGCAAAGTTATCCAGTTACTTCAATGAAGCTTATTCATAGAAGAGTCCCTGGTTTGCTGTAATAAGTGTTGTATCATGACTTTATCAGGTTTAATTTAGCCTTAAAAACTGTCTTCAATGTGTACTATGAAGGCAGTTAATACTTATTTATTTTTCCATTTTACCACCCAACCCCCTCTTGAAACTGTGCTCTCTTGTTTAATCAAATCAAATTTTATTTGTATAGTGCCAAATCACAACAAAAGTCATCTCAGGACACTTTACAAAGTAAGGTCTAGACCTTACTGTTATCAATATTATTACATAGGGAAAACCCAACAAATCC